AGAGAGAGAGAGAGAGAGAGAGAGAGAGAGAGAGAGAGAGAGAGAGAAAGAGAGAGAGAGAGCACTTTGCAGGGGCGGGTGAGACGGCCTTAGCGTAGGGAGGTAGCTGGCAAGTAAAGACAGCCAGGGGCTGGTGGCAGGGGAGGGGAGACAGAAAACGACCTGCTTTCGGTCTGCTGTGCTTTCAGGGAGCTTCACTAATCTGCGCTCTTGTCTCCTTCCTCTCTCCTGCCTCCCACCCCATTCCCTTTCAGGTTTGGTTCAAGAATCGCCGGGCCAAGTGGAGAAAGCGGGAGCGGAACCAGCAGGCCGAGCTGTGCAAGAACGGCTTCGGGCCCCAGTTCAACGGCCTCATGCAACCCTACGACGACATGTACCCGGGCTACTCCTATAACAACTGGGCTGCCAAGGGCCTCACTTCGGCCTCCCTCTCTACTAAGAGCTTCCCCTTCTTCAACTCGATGAACGTCAACCCCCTGTCCTCGCAGAGCATGTTCTCCCCGCCCAACTCCATCTCGTCCATGAGCATGTCGTCCAGCATGGTGCCCTCGGCGGTGACTGGCGTCCCGGGCTCCAGCCTAAACAGCCTGAATAACTTGAACAACCTGAGCAGCCCCTCGCTGAACTCGGCGGTGCCGACGCCCGCCTGCCCTTATGCGCCGCCGACCCCTCCGTACGTTTACAGGGACACGTGTAACTCTAGCCTGGCCAGCCTGAGACTGAAAGCGAAGCAACACTCCAGCTTCGGGTACGCCAGCGTGCAGAACCCAGCGTCCAATCTTAGCGCCTGCCAGTACGCCGTAGACAGACCAGTGTGAACCCCGGGGCCACTAAAGCGCCAATCCAGAAAGCGGGCGGGCGGGCGGGCGGGCGGGGGGGAACCGATTTTTAAATACCGAATGGGAAAATCCCTTCCTGGAAAGACTGAGAATTCTACTAGAAAGTAATGGGCACGGAAGAGAGAGGGAGCGAAAGAGAGAGAGAGAGAAGGAAACCACTGAAATAGAGAACGCTCTTTTGTTTTGAAAGGAATTTCCTCAGTTTCTGACATCTTTCACTAAAAGTATTTCCAACAGTAACAAGGACATATATATATAAATATATATGGACAGATGTTTGACTGGATATGACATTTTAATGTTACTATAAGCTTGTTATTTTTTAAGTTTAGCATTGTTAACATTAAAAATGACTGAAAGGATGTATATATATGGAAATGTCAAATTAATTTTATAAAAGCAGTTGTTAGTAATATCAAAACAGTGTTTTTAAAGGTTAGGCTTTAAAATAAAGCATGTTATACAGAAGCGATTAGGATTTTTCGCTTGCGAGCAAGGGAATGTATATACTAAATGCGACACTGTATGTTTCTAACATATTATTATTATAAAAAAAAACATTGTGTGAATATCAGTTTTAGAATAGTTCCTCTGGTGGATGCAATGATGTTTCTGAAAACTGCGATGTAAAACCTGACCTGTGTATAACATTTCGTACTATATTATTGTTTTACTTTTCAGCAAACATGAAAAATGTGTTTTATTTCATGGGAGTAAAATATAACGCATACATATTTGTCTGGATTATTTTTCTCTTAATCTCTACATCGGCAAGTGTTTCACAAAAAAAAATGACTTCTGACTAATTTCATCCCTTTGCCTGGTTTCATAGGGAGCGCGGTATTTTCTTTTCTTGATAGGATACAAACAAATCTTGTTTATTTACCTGAGATGGGAAAAAAAGAAATCCAAGCATCAGTCACATAGTGAACAAATCAATGAACTCAGTCTTTTCTTGAGTCCTTTCCTTTCTGCTTTGGTTTAAACCCATAGAATCCCATCATTCTAATAGATAATGGTTGAAGGAAAGTGAAAGACGGTAAAGTGATAGAAGGAAAGAAGGAAGGAAGGAAGTACGATTTTGTATGACTACCATGTTCAATTCTTAAAGAAAAAAATTGTTAGAAGGGAAAATTTCTCTGGAGAAATATTATGTGTATACAGATATACAGTATATAGATAGTGTGTATTATATTATATGTATGTCCTTCTTGACTTTATATATATGTATAGATATATGAAATACATTTACAAAGAAACACCTCCTGTTCAAAATATTTAGTTCCCTAAGTTTATGTTTCAGGCTTAAGTAGAGAGATCCTTCATGTAATATTGCATTACGATTTCCAAATCCTTTGGAGACATTAAAAGAAACAAAGACCATTTCAAATAACCACAGCCCTTCAGTATCTCAAAGAGCCAGGAGGTTGAGAGGTTAGATTGAAGTTTCCTGAGTCTTGTAGAGCAATATGTCGTAGAGGGAAAGGTCACGCTCCCTGTGTTTTATTTTAAATAATATTGACCCATTAATTCTAAACCTGCTTGTTCGTGAAATTATACAGGATTATAGTTTGCAAGCTCCAAGACAATGAAGCAAATCAAGATGAATTACAGCCGCGGCCCTCCCATCTTCTGACATCTGAACAGAGGAATGAGGTCGGCCTGATGTTTCAAAGAATTTAGAAGGAATTCAGGCGCTTTTTTTTTTTTTTTAGTATGAAGTATAATTTCGTAACAAATACTAATCATCCCGAAGAATTCGTCATTGGTCTACTGAAGGTTTGCTAGATGGGAGAGTGGGGGGGTGGGAGGGGGCGAAGGAGAAGGGGTGGTGGTTGAGGAGTCCCGTTGGGTTTCTGTTTTTGTTTTTCTTGTTACCTTCTCCCCTCCAAAGTAGTAAGTAGTTTGCAGATCAATACTATGACTGGGAAGTGAGGGAAAGAAGCCCCAGTCTCTGCCTGTTTTTCTGTATCAGGGAAAATCTGTGTTTTTGTACTTGGATTGCTTTTATCTGTTTAAAACTACCTATTGTCTCCTTGGATGGCTGACACTGAGGCTTTGTTCTGCGTCTAATCTCACTGCCACTTAAAGAAAAAGGTCACAGATAAATGTCCCTGTTTAGAGATCAGCACTCTCGATGCACATTTTCTCTTTGTCTCTGTCTGTGTGTCTCTGTCTCTCTCTGTCTCTGTGTCTCTGTCTCTCTCTGTCTCTGTGTCTCTGTCTCTCTGTCTCTCTGTCTCTGTCTCTGTCTCTCTCTGTCTCTCTCTGTCTCTCTCTCTCTCTCTGTCTCTCTCTCTCTCTCTCTCTCTCTCTCTCTCTCTCTCTCTCTCTCGGAGCTGCTGCCAATCTACAGCCGGGATCACGCGGTGCTGGGGGCAGATAGAGGCCCTTTGGACAAGGGGTCACCTCCTTCCTTGTTGTTCTTTCGAGAGCAGTGGAGAGGAAAAGGGTCCACACGGGCGGACTTTGGCATCTGCAAGAGACTGCTTTGGTATCAGTGGTCAAGGGGGGAAGGGAGGGAGGGAGAAAAGAAGGAAATGAAACAAAAATGGTAAAGGCACCAGGGAGACCTCTACACCTCTTTGATGGCAAGAATAGTTTGGAGGGGAAGGGCGTGTTAAAGGGATGGGAAGAAATGACTGGAGGGGCGCGCAGGGGAGGGGGGGTGAGGGAGCCTAAACTAGTCATAGAAGCTTGGCAAGAAGGTAGAGAATGGACTATGGTGGCTTCTTCAGAGGAGTTCACGTTCCACTTGCTTATTTAACAAACACAAAGCCACCAATCTACAAGACGATCATACACAATGAAAAATGGAGTTGATGGAAAGTTGTAACGTCCTCGCCTAGACTGGAGGTGTGGACTATCTGAAGCTTGGAATCTCCTTTCCCCATATCAGTACTCTTTTGCCGCGACCCTCAGAAAACCCCTATCCTCTCCCCTTGCGCTGCCTTCAAGTGCACTTCTGTGACCGGAGGAGAGAGAGAGAAAAAAAAAAGTTGGGTTCCGGTGTTGTGGGGTTCCGGCTTCTACTCCCTCTCCCCACTACCTACCCCCTTCCACACACCTCTGGCCCTCTTTCCAGCCATCACCACTGCCACCATCTCGGTTCCACTCAATCGATTTTTGCTGCATGTCAACACTTATTACCGGTGAGTGTGAGGGTATTTTCTCTCCCTCTCTAGGTCTCTTAATGATTTCTGAGCTAGTTGTGTATTAAAGTGCTTAAATGATCTATAGCATGAAAGTCAGCCTCTTCTTCCTGGGTTCAAAGATGGTAGGCAAGCCCACGCGCCAGATAGCTAAGCTCTTACTCACCTCGGGCTCTCTTCCACCCCTCGCCACCTCTAGTCTCTAGGCTGGACAGTGCCTTCTCTTAGCAACTTTTAAAAAGGAGAATAGTGCTCAATCTCTCTCACCTGTCAAAGGATCACTTTTCCCCGAGATGTCTTTGGCCCAGGCTTTTGTCTTCTTTTGCTTTAAAACACAAACAAAACAAATCGTTTAAATTTACTTTACTTAAATTCACCAAAGTAGAGGTGGAATATCACCCACTTTTGTGCCTGAATTGCTTCCCAAATAGTACAGATCTCAGCTTGCTTGTGAGCTGATTACCCTCCCCCCCCAACCCGGAGGTGGGAGTAAAGACGTGAGACCCACGATAGAGAGCCTGCTAGGTCACGTTTTTTAAAAGAGCGTCCGGATCCAAGATGCTTTTAGATTACGAGTCTAATCCACTGATTCGGTCTCTCTTGCCTTCACCCACCCACCTCCTCCAACAGCTCAGCTTCACAGTTAAATCTGGGAACCCTTCAAGAAGTATAAAAGAATAGGGGTGAAGAAAAATCTAATGGTGAAAAAGAAAGTGTTTTAAGTCTCAGTTCTTAACAAAATCCTCATCAATTTTAAGCCCTGAAGTTCTGCTGGCCCTTTTTTGAGGTGGGTCTATTAAAAACAGCACAATCTCAGTGGCTGGCCCCAAAGGGCCCCCCGAGTGCGAATAAACACTGGTGTCTGGCTGCCAATACACATCCTAATCCACAGGCACACTCGCGGTCCCCCTGCTCTCTCTCCGGGAGAGAGGAGATCTGGGGACTCACTCGGCAGTGCAGGTAGGATTGCTCCGCCTTTCTGGAGCATTCAGATTTTTTTAGGGGATCAGAAAAGTTATGCCTGTAATTACATCAGAGGCCTTTATGAATATAAACTCCTATTGATTGACTTCTTAAAAAAAAAGGAAGCTTCATCTAATCTACATACAAAACTATTTGTTTAAGGGGTTGACAATAGGATAGAATGTAAAGGGGGGAAAGGAAGATTTCTAGGAGCAGTTCTGTATGAAATCTTTTTCAAAAATTCTGTTTTCCCCCACAATTGCAGGTCTGGCAATTATAGTTTAACTTAAGCAGACTAAACGGTAATTCAAGATGGGATTTTAAAGAGCAGTTTAAGTAGAAACACGTTTGTAAGCACATAATGAATTTACCTTTTTCAGATTAAAAGGGAGTAGGGGTGGAGAATAGGGCAAGTACCCAGTGACTCCAGTAAGAAAGTATCTGAAAACCATAGAGGTTTATTTATCTCCCCACTCTTTAAACTACCCCCCCCCACAAATAAACACAGTTCACTCATTGTTGGCCTCCTATCTGTATAAGATAGAACTCAGAAGGTATTGTGTTTGAGATGCCTAACTTCAACTCACCTTTGTTCTGAGTATTTTACGTGTTTTATTTAAATATTTATTTTAGATCCAGTTGGAAGATTTCAGAAAGCAAGGAAGAAAGGAAGTCTTCTGGGGGAGGAGATAGCTGGCTATTACCCCTGCTTTGTTGTGGTTTTTGTTGTTGTTTATCCCTACACTGTGACTCCTGCCCTGAAAATTTGCTTGGGCATTTTGCCTTACAAAATGGCAGTTGTAGTTAAGGAAGGGTCGGTTGAGGTTGCAGCTCTTTATGGGAGAGTCCAAAAGAAGTTTTATGTGT